ACTACACTGATCCACATAATAAGATTCTGGGCATTATCTATAGTGTTTTGGTAAACGGTCGATTTGTCGAAATGATGGTTAATGACAGCCGTGGTGTCCAAGAACATCCTAGTATTCCTCCATCTTACAAGGGAAGAGTTAAAATCGAAGGAAGAGCTACCCTGGTTATCAAGAATATCAACCCTGGAGACAATACCGAATTTCGATGTGAACTCAGGGAAAGCCTATTCTCGCTTAAAAGAACAGTGCAGCTTATTGTGGCAGGTAAAAATTAATAACCAAACAAATCAAATGCATTCAAATCATGTCTCTCATATTTCTGAGATCTAAAGAAAGTAAACAATAGCATAAATTTGCTAGCCGAACTTTTGGGAACAATAGTGCCACTTTAAATCTCCTTAAAGGAGAAAAGAAATTTTGTCATTTACTTTGCTGTTTCTCATGATTAAGAAATCAAAGAGTTATGAGAGAGTTATTGCTTTATTCCTTTGGCACCAATTACTGGGTTGCTCCGTTATGTATAGATAACCATTATTAATACGAGTACTGAGATTTTCTCTTAGCAAAGCTGTCAATTAAGAATGGTCAGTCAAAACTAGAAACAATCCAGCTGGTTGTATGATTTTGCTAAATCAGTGAAGGAAAATATTGCATGATCAATCACAGGCAGCATGTAAAATTAAATTGGTGTGAAAAGATTGTATTCTGTAGCGGCCGACACAAGCGAAGCAAATTTTCAACGACAACTATGAGTTTTGCAAATGAAGACACATTAACAGATTGGTGACTTCTTCAAGTAATCTCTGACACTTTGTATGTAGGAGCAAGTCGAGACAAAAAAAATTTAAAAGTTATGAAAACAATAAACCAACAAAGTCTCTAATCTAAGCTCTTTATGCTCTTTGAAAGACACTGAACGTGCAAACAGAAAATAATTCAATGATGACCAATGTGGCCAGGTAAGAATGTTATCCTGAGCAGATGATGTTTTCATGGAGGTCAGTTCAACAGCTTTGATTTTATTGCTGACTTTGGTTGCCTCACTGAGAAACTGGCTGAATTCCACAAAAAGCAACATGAGACTAAAATTATTCAATTTCAATTTACAGTATGAAACGTTTCGTGAGCTTATGTAACCTAAACTTTTCAGAAAATTTTCATGTATCAAACAGAAGCCTAATGTTCTTTGCACAGACTTTATAATCTTCTCTTTGAGTGTTTTACCTGTCATTTTCGAATACAGTATCTAAGAGTACATTTAGTACATTTAAACGAGTGTGATATTGAATATGTAACTTCTTTGTCATTTGACTGTGATTCAAAGTTGAAAACGTTTGTGACATCTCAATACTCATGTACAATTTACCTCGTTGTTTGCTTGAACGATTTTATTCACTTGTTGTGAAGAATCCAAACTCACTGTTTACTTTGTTCACTTGCTTGTTTTTGATCCTTTGACTCATGACTAAAAATTTTTTGAGCTCACCAGCCATTACAACGCCTTCTTTCTTTTCTTTATTTTAATGGTACATTTGCTAATTAAGTTCTGTTGGCTTATTTTAACTGTAATACAATACCTGTCACACAGCTTACCTTTTCGAATTGTATTACAATAGAAAGATACCAGGTTATTATGGCTTAAAAGGGCAAACGAATCATCATTTGCATTTTGTTTTTGTAGCCTAAAGCCAATTATGTCTCATATTTCACTTGTACAATACAATACAATACAATATACAATATTTATTTTGCCATATACGACATTTACAGATGGAAAAAAAAATGAAGAAAATTAATGACAGAGAATAAATGGCGAGAAAACCTGAAAGAAACCACGAGGCTTATAGCAAGTCAGGCTTTCTCACTTAAAATAACTAATCTTGTATTAGAATTACAATATGGACTTATGGTAATTAACTTTGACCGCGTACACGTACACACACGCACACGCACACACATATTAAGTAAGTTAGTAAAGAATTCTGCCTTACAGAAGTTAATACCTAGAGAGAAGAAATTCCTTAAGCTTTCTTTTAAAAGAAGCGGAAGAGGGAGAACTAGTTATGTCAGAATTTAGCGAATTATAAAAGTTTGGACCTTGAAAGTAAATTGAAAACTTCCTGGTGTTCGTTCTGCACAGTGGCAAGCGGAAGGACTGAGCATTCCTAGTATTATAATTGTGGATTTGACTATTCAGTAAAAAAAAGTTATTGAATTTGGAAGGGAGTGTAGAGTTCACGAATGAAAACATAAAAGTATCTAATTGAAACGAATGGATATCATGAAATTTTAAGAGTTTAAGTTCCTTAAAAATAGGGCCAGTATGGGCAATGTATGTAGAATTGCTTACTATTCTTAACGCACGTTTCTGTAAGGTTACAATTCTTTGAAGGTTTGACTTGTAGAAATAATTGAGGGCCAAACATCTTGTTTTCTTTTACTAAGAGTGGACCGTCTTTTAACTTTAAGTTATAGGAAAGCAGCATTCAGCACGCCACTGGTGTATTCTTTTTATTGGGAAGAATCCATAGTTTCTCTTTCATCAAAATTTCAGTTCTCTGGGTTTAGGATGTCTCCTGTAGATCCTTTGTCAGACCAAGTTCTGAGTGGGGTGTGGCTTGGTTGGCTCTGTTCCTATTTGTTTGTGCAGCAGCATAAATTTTTTTCACTTGAATGGAAGTAGCTTAGAAGCCAGGGTCCTTAGCCCAAAGAGTAAATTCCTGAATCAGCCCTTAATTTTCTAGGCTGGGGCTCTGCTTTATAATTTAGCTCGCGAGTAAGTTATCCAGTAGTTAGAGCCCACAGGTTAACTTGTACTGAATGAGGTTTGAGCCTCCTTCTACTAGTTGGCTGTTGGGGACCAATTGCTTGATGTTTTTGTCTATTTTATCGAAGTTGGGTAAATTTTGAGATTAGGTCCAAGTAGGATTTGTTACGCCATGTGAGGAATGACATAATCTCTTTTACCTTTCAGAGGCACTACTTATAAACATCTCTTTAAGGGGAAAATATTACATTGAAGGATCCCCTGTCACCATGGCCTGTGAAGCTTCTGGGAAACCACTGCCGGATGTGGCATGGATTAGAAATGGAGTACTGGAAAGTTCAGGGAAGAAAGTTACGTTTTTAAAGCTCGAAAATATAAACAGAACAGATGCAGGAAAATATACATGTCAAGCCAATAACTCAGTGGAAGTCACTTCTATTGATACATCAATTGTAGTTCAGTGTAAGTATATTTTAACCTTAATTTTCTATTTCTGGATTTACTTTATTTACAGTGCGATTAATGTTATTGGGGTGACAGTTACCAAGAACTTATAAATCTGTTCGAAAATGAAAGGAAACAGAATTCCACATCAAATCATTTTTGGCTTTGCATGCATTGGTCCCAATTATCGGTTGGGACAATTGAATTTACGTGGAATCATTGCTCATGGTATGTTACTTAGAAGGATGCGACATTTTTTTACTATTTCATTGCTTCAGTTGGACTGTGTTTAACTCTGAAAATGGCTTAAAACTATCTCCGAGCCATTGTGATAATCCAAAATTCACTCCGTTTGACTAGCGCACAAGGCCTTGCCACCTTATACTAAATACTCGACTGTCAAATGACACAAAAGTGACAGACTGTACTATGGAGTGATTACAAGCCTCACTTTTTTTCTCATTTAAAGACAGGGAAGGAATGACAAATCCTGCACTTGGGTAATTGATTTCTATGACTTTCTGGTTTTGGAGGTTGTGTAACCTGCAAGCATTATGCCGCCCCCTATGAAAGATATGTATTTCCTAGCTTCGTCTAGTTTCCCCCAGGTTTTTCATTGAAACAAGCAGTTTACATACTATTGTCCGTGCAAATTTAAAATACTTATCATTTTATTTAGCCTGTTTCAGACTACCAGGAAGTATAAAGAGCCACGATAGTGTGAACACAACCTGACCAAATCTTCCTGGTTTTTCGCTTTAGTTTTTTCGCTCTGCTGCTGCTTAAGCTTTTTGCAAGAGCAAACTTGAGGAAGCTTGGATTGTTAATGAAAATTGAATTGTTTTTTTTGCATATTTGGTAGTGGCATCGAGCCAAAAATCCCTAATGAAGCATCTAGCCTATGAGGCCCTCGACTTAAGGTCTCTCTAAAATTGAGGCTCTGTTCCTCAGGAATCTCTTCGATAAATATATCATCCTGGTACCAATTGAGGAAAATAAGGAATGTCTTCAAACTGATTCAAACTGGGTTTCCGCGAGGAAAATAAGGAATGTCTTCAAACTGTTTCAAACTGGGTTTCCGCTTTTTTGCGAGATGAGATCCTCTCACGTGCAGCTTCTAGGACCCTGTTGCATTCGCCTTTTGACTCAAAATGAAGGATTTTCATCAAAAAATTTTCAAGAGCGACAACGTTTTATGTCCGTTAAGACAAAAAGCTGAGCTTCACAAATTGCTCATTTTTATTAACAGAGGTTTTAAATAGTTATCCTGATAACAAAATAGTTGATGTTATTTTTCTTGCTGCAGTAATGCCATTGTTTTTCAGTTTGCAATGTGTAAGTTAAAGTATTTTGCTTATAGTCAGCATTCTAACCATGGGTAGATGAGTTGCTACAATTTTCCATCACAAAAGCGTTATATTTTCTGCCCAAAGCACTCCATGGACTGATACAAGACAAACCCTTGTTGCCTTATCATGAACCATCTAGACTTTTAAAAGAGGTTATGATTTATAACCAGGCGAAATGTATAAGCGATGAATTAAACTGAAATTGAGATTTTGATTTGATTTAAATTTTTAGACAAACCTGAAGGTGTGAGGCTCACTACCAATGCTGCACAAAATACCGTCACTGAAGGAGACACTGTTACATTCAAGTGCATAGTTATGGCTGCTGTGCCACAAGTATCAATTTACAAGTTCTATTTCAATGGCAGCCTCCTAAGCGAGAACAGCAACAGTGAGTATACTCTCAATAACGTCGACCAGTCTCAGCACTATGGCGAGTACGAATGTATCCCGCATAATGACGTTGGATATGGAGCAAAAGCCACTGTGAGACTTAACATAAAGGGTGAGTAGAAACATCTTTGAGCATTTTTAAGTACTTTGGAATTATAATCCAAAACGGGAAAAATGTTTTATACCAGTTTACATTGCGTCAATAAAACTTCCCACACAGTGAATCATTACAATCCCGAACAAGGAGAAATAGAGAGAAATAGAGACCCTGGTGATGAGGTTGACCTTTTGTGCCTGGCGAACGACACATGTGCTAGTTAGCAGTATTCTCAAGCCGATGAAGACTTTTGTTGATGTTCCTGATGTTTTTGTTCCAGATTTTCGAGGATAGGGAATGTTTTCTTCATATGTAGTGTATGATGTCAGTATCAGTTGAACTGATATGCTATCGAAATGAATTAAAATATTGGTTTGCGAAAATGAGTCATAATTAAAGAAACCACAATGAACAACCTCGAGTTAAGATATCACCAGTCAATTATATGCTGCCTTCAATCCTAATAAGCCAGGGAAACTGCAAGTGGTGTTTGACTGCACAGCCCGATACAAAGAGACATCGCTCAATGACCAACCACTAAGTGGTCCAGACTTGACTAACAGCCTGCTTGGTGTCCTCTTAAGATTTCGTCAGGAACCAGTATCTCTCTCCTCAGACATTGAAGCCATGTTCCATCCAGTATTGGTTGATCCCTTAAGGTTCCTTTGGTGGCCTGGCGATGACTTATCTAAGAAGCCTGTTGAGTACACCTTTTGGTAGCGCGTCTTCACCTAGTTGGGATAATTTTGGTCTTCGAAAGACGGCTCAAGACAATGCAGGAGACTTTGACAATGAAGTGATCGACACAGTATTGAAGAACTTTTATGTGGATGACTGTTTGAAATCAGTGCAATCAAATGAGGTTGGCAGTAAATTGAGAGAAGATTTGTGTGTTCTATTGTCAAGAGGTGGATTTCGATTGACTAAATGGTTGTGTAACAGGAGGGAAGTCCTCAAAACCATTCCAACTTCAGACAGAGCTTCGTCAATTTTGAATTTGAATTTAAATTCTGGTGTACTTCCTATTGAAATAACCCTTGGTGTTCAGTGCAACATAGATAGCGACATGTTTACCTTTAAGATGGTACTTAGCTTACTAGCTTACTTAGCTTACTAGCTAAAAAGCTCCTTCAAGATCTCTGCAAACAAGGACTCACCTCGAATGGAGAGATAGTGAGAGAGAAATCTCAGTTTTGGAGACGATGGCTATCTAATTTACCTATGCTTTCAAGTGTTGCCTTACCAATAAGTCTGAAAGCGATCGACTTTGGCTGGGAACAAAATGCAGAACTTCAACACTTTGCAGATGCCGCTCAGATTGCGTATGGGACTGTGTCATATGCAAAACTCGTCAATGAAAATGGCCGTACCCATTGCAGTTTCCTCGCTGGGAAATCTCGCGTAGCTCACGTAAGACAGATGACTACACCCAGATTGGAATTGTCAGCCGCTGTTTTAGCTGTCAGAATGAATCAGACGTTAAGAAGAATTTCAGTCAAAAGTTGACAAGACAGTGATTTGGTCAGACTCCACAGCTGTCCTCCAATATATCAAGAGCAAAGAGACAAACGATTCTACATGTTTGTGGCCAATTACCTGGCAGTGGTACATGATTGCTCAGAACCTTCCCAGTAGAACTTTATGCCAACAAGCATCAACCCAGCTGAGGATGCCAGCCGAGGAATAGCGGTAAAGGAGTTATTAAAGAGGGAAATTTGTCTCAGAGGCCCTAAGTTTTTGTGAGAAAGTGAGACATCGTAGCCCACCCATCCAGTCTCTTCAGTCAGCATTTCTGAGTAAGACACAGCAGTCAGAGGTCAAGCTCGAACAGACCATGTTACTCTCATGGAGGATAAACGACCACTGAACCAAATGGTTCTGCAATATTCGTCATGGTTTGAGCTTTAGAAGAGAGTTGCTCGGTGTCTACGATTTAAGAAAAATTCCTTAAAGCAAGAGGTGCTTGTGGAAGGCTGTCGATAGACGAATTACGACATGCACAGGCTCAAATCCTCGCATACGTGCAAAAATTAGCTTTCTCGCCAGTGTTTAAAGTCCTCCCAGACTTGAGCCCAGGAGAATCTGAGAAGTGTAAATTGAAGATTATTAGCTCACTTGGTTCAGTGTACAAATTCAGACCATTTCTGGATGGAGCAGGAATATTGAGAGTTGGTGGTCGGCTTCAAAATTCTTCATCAGATTACCAATCGAAACATCAATTGCTGTTACCTTCAAAGCACCATGTTACCAAGCTGCTCATTATGGATGTTCATCAGTCTGTGGGTCATCTAGGCCAAGAATATGTCCTGACCAGTTTGAGACAAAAGTACTGGATCTTCAAGGGACGGCTGCTCTTTGAAGAGTACTCAGTAACTATTTGACTTGCCAAAAACAAAATGCTGCGAAGGGCCAACAATTGATGTTAGATTTACCTGACAACAGGCTTATTCGAGATAAACCCCCGTTTTCTAACGTTGGAATAGATTTATTTGGCCTACTGTATGTGAGGCAAGGCAAAAGTTATGATGTCTTTTCTCTTGCTTAACTATTCGAGCAATCCATATTGAAGTGACCGAGTCTCTCGAAACAGAATCGTCTATTCGCGCTCTTTGCAGATTCATCAGCAGAAGAGGGACGCCAAAGATGATAATAGGTAATAATGGTATGAACTTAAGTAGCGGAGAGAGAGAAATCGGTGAAGCCCTAAACAACTGGAATCAGCAGGAGATAGAAGTTTTCCTACACCAAAAGAACATCAAGTGGAAGTTTAATTTCCTGGGGTATCACAAATGGTAGGAGTCTGGGAACGCATCATTCGTTCAGTGAGAAATATCTCAAGAGTCCTTCTTAAGCTACAGTTGGTTCTGGAGAGGCATGCACTGCCAACGTTGATGGCAGGAGTTGAGGGAATTCTCAGTGGTCGACCACTGACTCTCAAAAGTGGCATGCAGTCCTATTGCTTCAGAATCTTTGACTGCTAACCATTTGTTACTTACTTCGAAATCTGCCACTAGGAGTCTTTGTTAAGAACGATTTGTACTGCCAACGTCGCTGGAAGTAGGGTCAATACCTAGCTGACGTATTTTGGAGGAGATAGTTGTCGGAATATCTACCAAATTTGCAAGAACGGCAGAAGTGGATCAGACCACGTCATAGTTTTGCTTTTGGTGACCTGGTTTTTATTCCTCATGGAAGAGCTCACCACCGTCAGTTGCCTTCGGGCCGCGTTCTCGGAGTTAACTCACAAATGGATGGATTTATCCGATCTGTCAAGGTTGCGCCAAAGTCCTCTACATTCACAAGGCCAATCTCACAGCTTTTTTTACTCGAACAAGAGATCTTTCTCGCGACGAACGACACGATTTAATCTACCTGACTATCGTGTTGTTTATTGAAAGTGAAAAAAAGCCTTTGAATTTGTGCACCAGATGTGCGTGAACTTTGAACACTAGCAGACTAACTTAAGGGACTCTTACGTTATTTATAATTTGAATTCTAGTCGCCCAATACTTGAAGTAAACTTAAGGGGTTGGAATGTTGCAAGGAGAATTTGGATTTCTGTCCAATGTCAAGTAACTGCGAAAAGATTTTATATTGTGTTTCTTTCAATGGAACTACTATTGTGATGTTCTGTTTCAATTCAATTAAGCCCGCACTTTTGTATGAGGTTGTGTAAGAATTACGTAGTGCTGGTAGCACGTTATTTCTCGCCAGTATAAGCTTTGCTTTCGTTACATACTTCTCATTACTTGTTGATTTCAATTAATTCAGTCGTTTCGTTAGTTTTAGTTAGCGCCGTGTTACTTTTGTTTGAGAGTTTTATTACCAGGCCTGGTTACGCCACAAATTGAAAAGTCATTTCTATTTCTTGTAGCTCTGTCGTTGGTCTTGTTGTTATATTTGTATTTAGATATTTGTGTTAATTATTTATTTTAAGTCGAATCACTTGTACACAACTACACATCTACACAACTACATATCTTTACATCTATATATTCGTCTATCGGGCAAACAGATTAGCTGTGCATTCATTTTGTGGCAAACCTAGCGTTACAAAACCTTTCCCATTTTACTTGGAAGTGCACTTTTTTCGATATTACAAGAAACCATTAGGCTCCATCTTAAAATTAAATAAAATTAATTATCAACATGCATAAACTTAACATATTAACACTTGACACTTTGTCACTTGACCTTTTATTTCAAACTTGGCCCCGTCCATTGATATCTTTTTTTTTATTGAGTTTAACACTGAAAGGTCAGTTTTGTTCTAAGATTTTATGGACCTTTTTGTAGTTCTCTAACATTTTGGGTCCTTTTTAGTGGTAGTGTTGACAATTATAATAATTATAATAGTATCAATGATAATAATATTGATGACAATGTTATGAGTAATAATAAAAGTTTTAGGAAGTATAGTCTATCATACCCTAAACCTCCGTGAAAAAAAATATTTAAGCTAAGGTATTATTATTATCATGTGGTTTGAGGTTGGTATGATGATTACATAAAATTTAAAATTGCTTGTCGATCATTTTAAGTCGTATTTTGTTTTTCCTCAGTTCAAACAGTTTCAAGTACAGTTGCCACTTCATCCCAAACAACTCCCGCAGGTAACTGTTTTTTTATAGGCGTTTTTTTGCCACCATGTAAAACTATATCATCATAATAGCATGTTCTTTGGTGTTACGAAATGAGTTTGAGTAAAAGACCAAGAGTGAATTAAGTCACTAAGGGTCTGGAACTTAGCGAAGGACTGTAGACTCACAAACAGTCATAACACATACTGCTAAATCTATATCAAAATTAAAAATCTAATACAAACTTATACGATTATGTGAATCTCGTCAGGTGTCATGCAGCGACTCAAAAGATCTTTATGAGTAAAAGGCTGTACCTTCCACAATGGAAGGAATAAGAATAAGCATAATTATAGATGTATAAAAGTATTCTTTTTATTTCTCTCAAGACTCCTTCCAATATTTTGAGGCATATTATGCTGGCCATCTTCAAACACAAATAACTTAATTCATGGGCTTTGCAAAACTATTTTTCGAGTGGGGTAGGGGTGGGGAAATGAACCATAGTATTCGTTCAAAAAATATAATTCAATCCCTCTGTGGGCCTACTTACACATGTTACTAGTTTCTGTATCAAATATTAAAACATTGTGAACAAGGCTAATCGTAACATGTTTATGCTATTGCGTGCATTAAAACATAAGTTTACTCTCGAGCTTAGTAGCACACTCTGTCAGAACGATCTCTGCTGGGATTATTGGACAATGTTCAAGCTGAATTGTTGCTAGATGGAACCACTTCTCAGCAGTTTTTGAGAATCAAGGCTCTTCATGTTTTTTGTAAATGTAAAAGGACACGGCTTTTCTTTAGCTTCAGAAAGCACAGAAGTTTACCTGACAGCGACAATACAGGGGAACTGTAGCAGACGTTCAGAAGTTGCTGCGAAATTTCCAGAAATGGTTAGATAATCTACTTGATCCATATACCGGAGTGTATAGAATACTGCCATAAGATTTATCATTATAATCAAAAGGGAATCTTAATCAATCTGCTCTTGAACGAAATCTCAATATTTCTGTTAAAAAAATGACATTCTGAACGATCTTCAACTATGAAACAAGTATTCGAATTTACATTTTTTCTTCAAATGTCCTTCTAGGCTTGTCAAATTGCCTTTAAGTTTGGCTGCTCATCCGCCAACACCGTGAACACCAGGTAAGGTGCAGTTTGTCTTAACGCTGAAACAACAAACCTTGGTTTATTGCATTAAAAATACTCTTTTGGTCAAATCTGAACGTATTTTAACACTTAAAAGTCACCAAAGTACAAATAGAATGCCGAATAGAGCACCGTGCTGTAAAGAGCACGATGCATAAATTACGACTGATCATGGAATTGAAGCAGTGTGGTTACTCAATTTTTGTCACGCAATTCGTCAAATTGCGCTCGCTTTAAACGCTGTCCTTTCGGTAACATACTTTGTTTGGCACTAGATTCTTTCTTATATTTAGGCTACTTATTTTATAAAAAGTCAAAACAGACCGCAAGACGCCTATATTCCCAAGTGTAACGTTGCGTAAATTGAGTACTGCGGGTCTCCTAATTCATAACCTGTTTAACTATTACTCAAGTAACGTTATTTAAATTAAGGTAGCGACAATTTTTTTCACAGAACAAAGACAACAACAAGGTCCTATCATGAAAATGTTATTTATTGTAACAAATGGCTTTGTGTTGTAATCGTAATAAGCTTTCAAGGGAGAGATAAAACAAATATTAGGTAAAGGTAATGTAGTTATATTCTCCAAAGTTGACAAATGTTTGAATAGGTTAAGAATGTAAAAGCGGATGAACTCTTCCCACGATTTCGTTTTGTTTAATACCGACTGTATAATCAGTCATAACTTATGCGTCTTACTCTTTTCGGCACGGTGTTCGATTCGGCATTTTACATCCTTCCCCCCTTACCTAGGTGTGGCAGTGTTGTTCTCGACTTCATGATGAGGTTCAATCGAAGTGTAGTCGTCAGCAATGTTTTGACTGTCCTGTTGGATGCTGCAAGGCAAGACAAATTCGGAGGTTTTAAAGTCGATCCAGAATCAATTAAACAAGTTTTTATACCCACAGACGGCTCGGAAAGCACAACAAAAGGTAAATTTTACAAAGAAATATTATTGTTAAATGTTTACACGTATTCGTCCGAAGATGGACTTTTTCTAATTGTATTCCGTATCTGTTTAATTAAACAACTCAATTCTGTGAGTCATATATTTCCAAGTTTTGTTTTTGTCGCTGTTGTTGTTTTATTCAATCGAACAAAATTTTTCTTTTAAAAATTATTATAGAGAGAGTAGCACCTTGCTTTTCCTTAGTACCTAGCCAATTAGAGTTAACGGTTTTCGTTTATGAGCGTAAGCTATGTAGTGAGAGCAGTGTATTGACCACGATCACTTTAAATGTTGTTTGAATGTTACCTGATCAAGCTTTGTAAAATGAATCATTTTAGGTCCTGAGGAATGTAACTGCCCATCTAACAACGTCTCGTTAGCCATAAATGGGGTTCTTGCCTTCATAATCGTTCTTCTAATTATTTACATAATCTGGCTACATAAGAAAGGTAGGTAAAAAATTCATAATCTATGATAGAGGGTTTGGCTGCAAGATTCATTATTAAGCAAAAGAAAATCTTGACCCACATCCACATCATTTGTCTTTTTTTTCCTTTCGTTCTTTTTCAGGCGCTGTTGGGAAACAGAGGTAAGAATTTGCTGCCACTTGGATTGTGTCGATGTAATGTTCCAGATATGGTATCATCTTATAACAAACTTCCACTTAAAACTGATGAGATTCTCAGCTCGTCATAAATATTTGTATGCTTTCTCAATTGTAGGACTTATGAAGATGAAAGAGGTGTTTCCTACGTAAGTTACAGGCAAAATATTGAGGTCATGTTAGTGTGGCCAGTAATTATGTAATCTCACTTTACCTCTACTCGCTAGAAGGAAATAAACGCTTGCAACAAATAGGAAGGGAAAAAAGTGTAGTTCTACAAAAAAGGCATAATGCATTAATGACAGGTACAATAGAATATGGGAAGAAGTTTGACTCGATAGGGTCTTTGTCCTGGGATCATGTCCTTTACCAAGCTGCTCCATGGATTTTCCTTCGATCATCCCTGGTTCAACTGCGTGGCTTCACTTCATAGATCGCTAACTGGTCTGCACCCGGTTGATATTTGTTTTGTAAATAATTTTTTTTCCGCGCAGTTTTGGCCGTCTGTTTATCTTGATGCCTTATTTTCAAAACGTTAGTCCAGGATCTGAATACAGCAAGAGTTTTTTTTCGTGTGTGTATTTGTAAAAAAATTGCACTACCAATCGACAATCTTCATGTTGCAGTTTGTAGCTTCAGCGAGTATGCTGTGAACCTCGATCACTCCATTGGACATGATAGTTTCAATGGCAGCGAACAGAGTGTTAGTAATAAGAAAAATAAGTAATAATAAGGACAAGATATTATAAACTATTAATAATCTCTTGTTATGGAAGAATATAAACGTTTGTCTGATGAAAACGGGTAAACTGATTTTTATAAACATGTGGGACTTTTTATTGGGATTAATAACAGATTTGTATATGAATACCTTAACGGTATGTTGGTTTAATAGAATGAAACAGGATTAGAAGATAGCGAACCAAGTCTACCCGATTCAGCAAAACTCACCCAGCCTCCTGCGGAATACATGGATCTCATAGAAGTCAACAAACATGATAGAAAAGCACAAAGTACTGCTTCAGGTGCTGATTACGTGCCTCTTCATCCGTTAACACGCTGCTGGGAAGTTCCAAGACGCCACGTGACCATAGAAAAAATCATTGGTAAAGGTGCTTTTGGTCAGGTTGCCAAGGGAACAGCAGTAGGACTTCAAGGGAGTCCTGAAACGACCACAGTGGCTATTAAGATGCTTAAAAGTGAGTTCTTGAACTGTAAATTGAATGACAGTCTTGGCCTACAGTCATATACTGTTACCGGGTTACGTAACTTTTGGCTATTTGTCATTCGATAACTTATGTCGCTATTCGACATTTTGCATATTATTCCCGTTAACCAAATTTTACTCCTTGTTTTTAACGCTCCAGCAAACGCTACTGAATCGGACAAGAGAGATTTGATGAAAGAACTTGACACAATGAAGCAGCTGAAACCACATCCTTATGTCATTAAACTTCTGGGATGCGTTACAGAATCTGGTAAGCTTTGATTATGAGGTCCAATTTTGCTGTACACATTTTGCATCTGATTTACTCTGTAACGCTTTCTCGTCATTGATAATTTGCTTCAATGGAAGATTCACTGCTTCACAATCGCGCACAACAAACAACCATCGCATATGGTAATTTTATCCTTTTTTAGCTAACAGCGACGCTCTTGGATTTGCTGATAGACGAAGACCAAATATTTGCCATTGTACAAGCCATTCTGTTGTATGAGCAGAATCGTTTTTTCTAAGGGAATATTTGGCCTGTATCTTCTTATGAGACCGTTACAAAGTTTTTCAGCTTTTCTTCGTAAAACTACATCTTGTTTTCGTGCGATTTCTTCAAAAGTATTGAACCTGACTGTGCTATTTATTTATTTTACTTATTGCTAATTTTTTTAGAGGGAGAAATATATAAATGAAACTGTTTAATTTCTTCAGAACAGCTGCTGGTTTTGATTGAATATGTGCCTTTTGGGGATCTGCTGGGTTACCTGAGAAAGAGCCGTGGATTAAAAGACACTTACTTCAAAGACCCGGATATCAAACCACAAACAAATCTGACGTCACAGCAGCTGATGAAGTTTGCTTGGCAAATTGCTGATGGAATGAGTTATTTGTCCTCAAAATCTGTAAGTTAATTACAAAGGCACCAAAGAAGAACAATTTTAAAACCTTCTTGTAAGGTGTATCGTCATGTGAAGCTATGTCTTGCATAGAATAATATGTCTTCACAAGATCACGCCCGGGATATGCAAACGTATTCTTACCGTCTCGTTGAGGCTGTTTCCGGGAACCCTACCAGTTTTGACGTCATCACCAAAGTTATATTTCAGTGTGCGAATGGCGATATTTGTGCATCGCTGCAAGTGCACCTCATCGAAATTAAATATCTGGGTTTTTCTCGTGTAGGCAAAGGCAGAGATGTGAATGAATAGGATCTTTTATTCAGCCTAAACTGAGTGTACAACGAATATCCATTTTAGTGACAAGAAAGAAAAGGAATTAAAACTTGAAATTCAAAAATTCGTCTTTGGTTGCTAAACTGCTACATTACAGAATCCTATTTCGAATAAAATCTTAAGATAAGCTTTCTATGAAATAATTAGGTATTGCAGAAATGAAGTAGTTTGCTTCCCTTTGGAAGATGGAGCAGTAATAAATAATTTTAATTTTCTGCCATCTGGAAGAAAGAGAAATACACACACCATATTATGTCGCTGGATATTTCTATTTTCCTATCTGAATCATTTCATTTCAGTTCTTTTTCTTCTGAAATCGCTAATTTTTGCTCTCGTATCAATGCTTTCTTAGATCATTCACCGAGACCTTGCGGCTCGTAATGTGTTGGTTGGACAAAAGGAAACTTGTAAAGTGACAGACTTCGGAATGGCCAGAGATGTGCAGCAGGAAAATATTTATGAACGAAAGACTAAGGTAATCAAGAAAGAGGGGAGGTGGGGGCGGTACTACATATCGTTCAGTTCAATTATCTTTCACAATCATTTTGTGATAAAGCTGATATACTCCTGATTTCGATGACAAAATCCTTGGATGGGACCATAATGAAAACAGCCATTTGTATACGAGTATAATTTTAAATATCACTGTCTTTGACCGGTCGCTTCCTATAATTTTTTAGCTGTTTCAAAAAGTGATATTTGAAATCTTTAGGGCCGTCTTCCAGTGAAGTGGACAGCTTATGAGGCCTTGATGTATGGTAAATATACCACCAAAAGTGATGTGTAAGTATACCCGATTATTACCCGTAGCAATTTTCCAACAAGTTTTACCAATAGAATAAGAGGAAGGGTAAGTTTTGGGCTCGGTAAAGAAATAGAGAAAGATGTTTTTCATCCTCTCACGAGCGTTGGACAATGAAAATATTCTTCACTCCCCATGAGGAATCGAACCTCAGACCATCGGATTCCGCGCTCCGATGCTCATACCACTGAGCCACAGAGACTCTACGACTCTATTCTCTTGCATACTGCAAGGATCAGCAATGTCGATAGAGTCATGTTTGTAAATAAAAATAAGAGAGAGAATCGGAGCGCGGAATCCGAAGGTCTGAGGTTCAATTCCTCGTGGGGACTCAAAATTTTTCCTTCGTCCCACAATCGTGACAAGACGAAAAACATCTTTCTCTAAGTTTTATCAGTTTCAATCAGGACATGAATTCTATGCTTTGTCAAAGAATACATATATTTTAGTTGTCGTATAAAATGTTTATGTCTTCAGTCACCCAATATATATTTGTTTGATTTGTCTTTCTGCAGATGGAGTTATGGAGTTTTGCTGTACGAGATTTTTACCATAGGTAACATCGAATGGAAATTTATAAGGCCCTGTATATGTTTTTTGCTATATACCATGTTCAATTAAGCAATGTAAGGTGTTCACTTAGACAAACGTAAAGAGCTTCAAACTACATCAAATGACATGGGTGGTGTTTCAGTGAAGGTCGTTTTTTCGTCACATTTATATTTCGATGGTCTTATGGCTCTTCCAGGTGGTTCACCTTACCCACGAATGGATGGAAGAAAAATTGCAAACTTACTTCAGGAAGGATACAGGATGCCTAAACCACAACACGTTGATGAGGAATTGTAAGTGTTTTTTCAATTCGTTCTCTCTCATCCTACAAGGAAACGTTCTGTAAATCTCTAACAGATCATTTGAACAATACCAGGTATCAGATTATGATGAAGTGCTGGAAGAATGACCCAGATGCAAGACCAACTTTTACTGAATTGAAAAATCAGCTTAAGGACATGGAAACCCTACACAAGGTGAGAATTTTCTTCAACATGAAAGTTTCTTTTCACGTTAGACCGACTAACTTAGGCTTAGCTAATTAGGGTTTTAAACTTAATAGCGTTTAGCTTAGATAGCGTACTTTTTACGAAGTTGGGATTGCATCTTCTTGTTATGTCACTGAAGCTAGCACTCCACGAAAAACAAGGAGGAAGCGAACTAGAATGTCCTTGCGACAATTGACTCATTATGGTTATTTAAAAGATGGTAGGATTATTGCAAAATTGTATTGAGACGCACAAAGAGCAGCAAACGACACCGTAAAATACTTTCTTGAATTTGTTTTGGTGTGAAAAGTTGACCACTTGGGAGGATAAACGCTTATAACGTAAGAGGAACACTTTTTTAATGATGCCAATTATTATATTATTCTTTTCTGCAGAAGCTGATCAACATGATAATGTACGACAAGCAGTTGTATGCAAACGTCGAGGATTTAATGGTGTAGTTAGATAGATTTCCGCGGTATATGACTGGCTAACAGTTTGAACACTTTGCCACAACAAGTTTCAGGGCTGAATCATCTTTTCCTCACACGCTTACTTGGTAGAAAAAGCCATTTTGTGTTAAGCAATTAGGCTGGAACGTTATAACTCGATTGATTTTATATTCTTAAACGCTGTAACGCTTTTATCAGTTTACCGATAAAGTATACTCTCATTTTCTCTTTTACATGTTTAGCACTTACACGCATGCTCGACACAAGCGTTGGAGTTCAGTTTATTTTCTGACTCAATTCTGAAAGGCAGGATAGTGCGGAAAATATCCAATTAACTAGATTGATGAGATCTCGTTCTGTGTGCCGTAGTTGTCTGCAGTTTTAGTAAATTGCTAAAAAATTTTTGCCGCAAAACCCGCTTGGTTTTAGGAAAGCTATCCGGCGCATAAACTGCTTTCCCTAAGACCGCATCTACCTGCGATACTAACTCGAAATACTTTTACACTGAAAGTATTATTAATTAAAAATTAGCCTTATCCTAATAAAAATTATAATTGGCACATTACTTGTGCAATCGTCTTAGCTTTGAGAGATGAATTTGCTGAAAATTGTATATAAAATTTTGAAGATTTTTGCCCAGAGGGAAATGACTATTTCCTAAATTTTCTACGGGAAACGAAATGTAGAGAAATTGTGAAATACATGGTATGGTAAGACCACAAGAAGCTAAATTTTAAGATCTGATTTATGCAGGTAAATAACTTTATCTCCTAGGATTTGTCGCCACAATCAGGAGCATGTCGCGAAAGTGTGATAATATTTTAACACCTACCATTAAAATGCACAGGTTTTACCCCTGGAGATGTTTATTAAATCATTAGTGCTCTCTCGAGTAGCCTGGAGAGGATAAAAAAATAAAATAATAAGAACGGGTGCTGACCATACAATTTTGGAACAGTCAACAAAAGTTAGTGCTCTGGGAATTATTGGTAGTTATCGTCACGTAAACTGCGCTTTGTCGTGAAAGAGGAAATAAATGGATTTGTAACGGGACATACAGTGTACATTGCTATTACTGGCGTCCAGAGTATTGTCTTTGAAAAAACCACTTAACTTTTCACGTACAATTCCTGCAAATGCAAAGTGTAATTATAGTAAATGATGCGATGATAGCAGCTGAGTGAAAAAAACGGGCCAGGGGTGGGTTGGGTCGCGTACTGTTTTGTTGGTACCATCGCGCAGTTCATTTATTTCGTTCTGTTTTACTAAATGAACGCCTAGAACCGGTTAATGAATCGAAGTCCCCGCATTTTTCTTAATTCAGTGGTCTTGCCTAAGAAATGGACGTAAGCCGTAATCAAAGAACCTTTGTCTTTCGTACAATTACTGTATATACTTATTATAATATGTGCACTATATTTAACAGTTGTTCCATGAGCCCGCGCCTGATATGAACTGGCTATACCAATCTCGTATCCACCAAGTCAGAAACAGGAACCTATGGAATAATTTACCGCACGACTTGACCAATGAGCTTGTACAGATGAAATGTTACCTCTAGATTCCTGTCGGTTCATTCTGTCAATTGGATTTAAAAAATTGACCCCTTCAGAAAACCTGTGTAGCCAAAGAAAGTAAAAGGGAGACGTTGAATTCCACGTGTTTAAAAAAATATGTGGATCAAGAATTTGATCGAACCCAAACCCAAACCCAAACCCAAACTCAGAGGCTTCACGAAGCAGAAAAAAATTGTTAGGTTAATATGTAGTTCAGATTGACGCTGGAATAAAATATGATTTGTTAAAAGCTTCTTAATAGACACTCTGGTCTTTTTGCTTTATCGTTATGTAAATGAAATGGGTGTATTGAAGAAAACATTCAAGGAAAGATGACACCCGAGCCATGGGGTAAAAAATGCGGGGTAGAAAAGTTAATTGCTTTTAATAAAGCAAAATGGGACCCAGCTACGCCAATTGTTTCGTAGGTTTTATCGAACACCAATTTTTCAGTCAATACAACGGCCCCAAACCTGAACTCTACGGTCGCTACATCGACGACTGTATCAGCGCCACCTCCTCTACCAGGGATGGACTGACTCAATTAATAACTGTTATCAATTCATTTCGCCTGGCTCTGAAATTTGCGACACTTCTTTGGCTATTCCAGACATCAAAATTTCAATTAAATTCAGAAACAAGAGCGAATGGAATCAGTGAGTTATCAAATTTTTTCATTTTTTGGTAATCCGTTTTAACTCTCAATTTTTCTTCAAATTAAAGCCACCTGAAGTCAATATCATATTTGATCGTCAAAACAGTTAAGCTACGTCCGGAGCTGAATGAAAATTCAACGCAAGCAGTTTATTCAGCTGTACACAAAATACATTAATCTACGATCGAAGAAACGTTTAAGGGTACGACATACAATACTTACTAGACAAGCAATCAGGTGTCTTTGAGTTCCAACGTATAGGCAAGCGAAAAATTTTGTGAACAGGTTGATTTAGTGTTTTGTTTAACTGGAACAGAGTAAAGCTTGCGATCGAGGATAGGTTTCGTTTCAATATCCTGACCTCAATTTCACGCTTCGAGTGTACGAGTTAAGAGTTATATTCCCACTGAGACAAACATTTGGTTAAATCAGTAAAACGTTATACCCTAATGTTCAAATGTTTTGCTGCGTGGTAGCGAATGGAGAAACCAGTATTATGGTTGCTTAAACAGACCCGCAGTCGAAGTTGAGTTTTTGTAATGAAAGATCCTGTTAAAGTGTAGATATTTCGACACAAATTCTGTAATTCCTATAATGGAATTTTTAAGGTAACCGGTTGTTCTTTCTGTTGTGACAACGTTATGCCTTTTCTTGACCATAAAGCGTTGACCTGAGGCTAGTGCTGTAAGTTAAACTTAAAATTTAAGAGAGTGTCTCTGTAAGAGCGAAATCCGTGTCTCAAGCAAAATCGACCGGGCCGCTCTTACAGAGACACTCTCTTAAGTCCCATTTAATCAAGTTACATTAAACTTTTTGACTTTTACTTTTTGTTACCAATATGACGTTGACTAGCATTTGCTTTGGTTAATTTCCAATGTATAAAAAGAATTAATTGCTTCCGGCCAAAAATAGATTTAGCTGAGCGACACTTAGATAAATCATTTTCATATAACCGAAATTGAGAGAACCAATAAGAACACTAGAAATCGTTAGTGAGAGCGTACGACTTTTATTCAGTTGAGACTCAAACCTACCACCTTCCGTTCATTACTTCAGACACTCTAACGCTTAGATACAGTAAACTTGTAGCAAGCCAGCCAGATTAACTATGTCCACGAAGGTAAACTTCCTGCATATTGCAAGCATATGATTACTGATATGTGATTCTTACTCGTAATGCTGCATTCATTAGATTTCTTACTCATTTTACTACTGCTAGGTATTTTTGATCCAACTGAGCTTATCAATGGAATTCGCCAGCTGTACAAGACTCGCGAGGGATGGCTCTCACCGTCTCCATGGTGAAAAGAGTTTCAGTTTTTTCTTGGCAATATTTTTACAAGGCTCAAAGTGGTCAGAAGAAAGAAAACGAGAGGAGAAATCACTGACGTATTTGTTGATATGTCTTCAATACTAGACTCGTATGAAGAGTGTTCAGTGCCGAGAACAGTGTTGATTGAAGGAGAACCTGGTATAGGGAAAACCACCTATTGTAAAAAGTACGCCTACGACTGGGCCACCAAAAGGCAAGCACCTCAGGGCTGCGGCTCCACAGCATTCAAAGCAGTATTGTTGCTGAAATGTCGAGAAACGCATTCTGATGTTTGGGAAGCCATTGATGATCAGCTTCTGCCCCAAGAAATCGATAAAGAAGTCAAACAAAAATATCATTTTATTGATATTGGATGGATTGGATGAGTAACTATCCAGTAAATTGTCGATTTTTACCGAATTAATTGAAGAAAGATTGCTCCCCAGATGCCACATAGTTGCAACAGGAAGATAAGAAGCTGGGAAAGAGGTGAGAAAATGCTGTGACACGCTGCTTCAGATCGAAGGATTCATTGAAGACCATGTGAGAGGATTTGTCACCAAGTACTTTAAAAAAAAGGCACGATTTAGCTCAACTGTACTTGGATATGGTTGAATGTGTCTTGAGAAGTTATAGAAAAAAGAAGGGACTATTAGAAACGGAAGAAGACCGGACAGATCTCTACAAACCGCAATTGAATCGCTTCGGGTTAGTAGTGTTGAGTGGTTTACTCAACGACAAATTGGATTTGAATGAAAGTGAATTGGGAAACCATGCCAAAGACTTGACTGAATTTGGATTTCTTGCATAAAAGTTTTCAAGAATTCTTTGCAGCCTTCTTCTTTTCTGCTCAGGTTCAAAGCAAAGAAATTAGACCAGACGAACTAGTTTCCGATCCAAGGTATTTTGTTAAACTTGAAGAGGTACTTTTGTTTTCGTGCGGAATTTTAGCCATGAAATGCGATGAACAAGTCGTCGATTTTGTACAGAGTTTAACAAACGAAGTCAACGAAAATGAAGGCAGTGGTTTAAAAGCTGTATTGGAGGCCATTAACGAATGTGAAAGACAAAAGAGTGATTTTCAATCACGGTCAGCAAAGTCTTTTAAAACTTGTTTGAATCTGACCGATTTGAATTTGTATTACAATGGTATGAGTGAAGCCGGCGCTACATCTATTGCTGAGGCCATCAAAGGCAAAAAGATGTTAACCAATTTGGATTTGTCTGACAGTGGTATGAGTGAAGCCGGCGCTACATCTATTGCTGAGGCAATCAAAGTCAACAAGACGCTAACCAATTTAAATTTGTGTAGCAGGGGTATCAACAAGACGCTAACCAGTTTGGATCTGTCTGACAATGGTATGAGTGAAGCCAGCGCTACATCTATTGCTGAGGAAATCAAAGTCAACTAGACGCTAACCAATTTGAATTTGTAGAGGTAATCACATGATTTCGAGTTCAATTTGGAATAAATAAGCGCGAGTACATTTTTACAAAGACTCACAAAATTGAATTATGTGAAGAGTTTCAGAGACCAAACACTTTATTTATCACCGGGGGAGGGACGATTAATCTTCCTTTTTTTTGTTTTTTTTTTTGTTTTTCCCCTTTTTTTGAGGGGGAGGGGGATGATGGATGGGGTTTACATGGTTTTCAATGAACGGAGGCTGATCAGTTGCCGCTAACAGAGTTCTAAGGGGAACCATAGAAAATTTCCGCCAATTGACTGTCAATGAGAAATCATAAGTATATTATGGGGGAAGCAGGTAAATTAAGTCGTGACGCAACCAAAATCCTCCAGCCCCCCCCCTGAAATTTAGTGTAATCGTGAAAACC